TGCGCATTAGATTCGGCAATAAAGCCTCATCCGGGTTCACCGCTGTTTCGCTGTCGAGGATACGCGTGGCGCCCATACGGCCCCGCGTTATAATTATTTTAAAAGAAAAATTTTATTTTCAGTTTAAAAAACACCGTCGTTTGACTTCGAATTAATTTTATTGAGACCGGCATGTAAGATTACACATTTCCGTATATTTTTAAATTTCTAAAACCATAGTAATTACATGGTAAATAAATTATACACAAACTTAAGTTGCCGATTTGTACATAGTGCCTTTCTTGTAATACACTAACGAATCATAATACGACAAACTATACTAATCCATTTGCTACTCGTTACGTGGTATTAAATAACAAATATTACACTAATAAATCAACCTAGTTTTTGCTCTTTCACTGGCAAAAATAATGCAGAATTAACAAACAAGCGAGATCCAGTTTGGTTATTTATCCCGGTTGTCTATCTCCGGCTTATAACCGACTCTCTATTTGGAGCTAATTCACAGAGAAATCACAGCACGGACAGTCACCCTCACTTTCATTTACCCGAACAGATGTCGTTCCAGTTCCCATCACACATTTTGATTATGTGATATAGGGGCTGGACCGAACCAACCTCCGTTTCCACACACTGACACAGATAAGATACAAAAGGACGATGATCGAGTCGTTTACTGTTGAACAGCAATAAAATTTAACAATGCCTTTCTCTTTCTGACTTACTGTTGCTCTTTTTCTCTTAAGATTGTAAAAGGCAGGCAAGTCTGGTTTAATGTCTTTAAAAGTCGACGCTGGAGCGTGCCAAAATCACACTTCGAAAATCTTACGACAACGGTGCTTCCAACATAATTACAGTTTTGCTAGTTTTTTTAACTAAAGCGCCAACCTAAACAAACTTGGCCTTTCGATTGATTTTATTCAGTTATAAATTATGATGGCTGGATACAGTTTTTCTTTTCTTGGTAATGTTGGTATTTGTTTTATTGTTAGTTAAACTGTTTTTATCCCTTAGTAATTTGTTTTGCTGACAGAACATGGTATTCCGTTTCGTAATAATTCCCATTAAAAAACCCAAAAAAATGCGGCGCAACGAAAAGTCCATGCGGCGATTTATCCATGCGGCGAAATGTACCAGTTAAACAACGAGTAGATTTGCAACCAACTGTCACGACAACGAAGTATCCCAAAACGAATTGTCCATATAACGAAACATCCTAACACCAATTGTCCCCCGACCAAAAGTCCTTTAAACGAAGGTGTCCCCGACGAAATGTCCCGCGACGAGCTGTCCCGTGACGACTTGTCACGTAGCCACCGAAATCTGATGTCGGTTGAATACCACGGGTAGGTCTCAAGGACCTCGCTCCGAGAAAAATGTTGGCCAAAATGCAAGTTGGCGCTTTTAAACGTGGCATGCCCTTCACGCGTTTCCGACTGGAAGCGCGGCACGATCGCCACATACAAGCTACAGCCGCGTATTCCCATGCAAATCTTCATGCTGCAATTCCGCTGACTTGTGAGGTTTACCCATTCGGCTTCTTTCTAAAGCGGCATCGTGACAAAGTGGCAGTGTAACGCCGGAGAGTTTCTCCGGATTCTTGCCGCGCCTTAGTCGACATGTACAGTTTGTAAGCCGCAACATCAGTCCGATCGACACGTGACGCGATAACCAAAAGTAAAACTATCCGATAACGGAGCAACCGCAACGGTTGCAATATCCCTGTTATTATATGGATGCATCAACTTAATAACGATAACGAATGCGATATTTAACGATAATGTGGTACCAGGAACAACGTATGATATCATTCATCAAAATGTGTTAGTTTAGTTAGCTTGTTCAAGATTCAAGATTTGTTCATATAATTTTAGAATATAATTCGCTACGTTTTCGCTGGTAATTTTGCAGTATAATTTCCGGTCAAGAAAAATTCCCAGGTTTTTCACGTGATCACAATTTGGGACAGGCATATTGTCAATAGTATAACGATACGGACAGATAGGGCTTTGTTTCTTTGAAAAGTGAACGTGAGCCGACTTGGTCGCATTAAGACACAGGCTTTTGCTTGCAAGCCATTTGTGTAACAGCGTTAGGTCTTCCAGAAGTAGGTCACTGTCAGATTTGTCAGTGATCGGACGAAACCCAACGATGTCATCGGCAAAAATAAAAGCAACACTACCGTTCTTCAGCGCTAACCTAGTGCTGTTTAAAACGCAGATAAACAATAAAGGCCCTAAAACAGACCCTTGAGGGACACCGCTGTAAACAGATAGGCAGTTTGGAAATTGTACCATCGACACAGACACACTGCAACCGGCCTTTCAGGTAGTAAGAAATTAGGTGCAAAGTTTTTTAGGCAACGCGCCCTGATAGAAGCGTTTCCCGACGGCAGGTATAAAGTTTTAGCCGAGAGTAACAATAGTTCTAGCGAAAAATATACTCGCAAACCAAGAGTGCCGGTTCATTGAGCTGCACAGTGCAGTAGTATCAGGGAACAGTACACATTTCCGCGTTTCTCGAAAATGCGGTTTCCGTGAGGTTGATGCTTTCGGCACCCATCGGAATTGGCTCCGCACAGTCAATGGGTAAAAATATGTCTTCCCGATTGTACGGTCGGCTTGTGAGATCGGTCGGATAGGCCCACACTTCACCCGAGTCAACCGCCCCGTGCAACAGCCGCGTGTTATTCGCCCACCAGTGCCGGAACCACTGGAAATCGCAGCCACAGTGCAGTCGCCACAAGTAATCCCTGATCCGCGGCCGAAATGTTTGCTCAAAAACACGTTAAAATAGAAGTCACCTTCTGGTAGCAACAGGCGCAGGTCGGGGAGAGCGCCAAATGCGTCGAATTCCAGGCTGCGCATTGTAGTGTTGGCCAGCACTAATTGCCTCAACTTCGGTATACGCTGGAAGTCGCTCCGTTGCACAACCAGGTCGCTGCAACCCCAGACACCGAAGTACAAAAGACTGCTCATCCGGAGATCGGCCGCCGCTTGCGTCCCACGGCTTCCGGAGCAGCCGGACACGTCGAGGCTGACAATCGACAGCCGAATCGGAGCTATATCGGCAGATGTGAGATTCCAGCGCTGAATGATATTCAAGTTGTTGGCCGCTGCCTTTGTTTCGCCATCCCGATTGCCAGTTCTCGAATTTCGCGTAACTCTGGCTCACTGCGGTAGTCAGGTCGCCAAAAGTTGTGTTTCCTGCAACTCCCCGGCGGTAAGTGAAAATTGTTGCAGTCATAAAGATCACGTTGTAGTCACCAGCATTTGACAATTGACAGTATCTGACATTCGGTCTCCGTTAACGGCTCGCTCGAAAATGTTTGGAATTCGTCACCGCGTTCACCCCAATCGACAGAGGGGTCATGACCTTCTGGGCCTGAAATCAATCATGAATCTGTAGAAATCCTATATATTAATAAAATAAGCCTTAGCGAATTTCATTTCTGTCACCCTTGTTTGAGCGAGCCACTGAACCAAACTTTGATGTCCTTATGTCATTCAATAGCGCCCAGCTTATAGATTTGCAGAAACCAGTCAGTTTTTCGAAAGTATGTAAGGTTTAAGAGAAACATTCAAAAGAATTTAACATAAAAAGTCTATGGGAAAAGTGGAAAACTCACCACTGCAAAATCCTCCACACCACCACTGTAACACACTGATGCTACCTGTCATCTGTCCAGTATAGTAATTGCCTACCGCAGCAGGAAACCACAACCGTAATTTAAGCAGTTGCCGGACTATAGGGGTTGACAGCACTGTATCATTACGAGTACTGTTACTGTGCTGCCAAGTGAATTCCGCCCTTTTTCGTACAGCATGCTAGACAAGAGCTGTATGGACGGCTCTAGCGTTCAGTGGGTTCACTGTCTACAGGCTTATGAACTGCCTGAACAAGCAATTGTTCAGGCGCAGCTGCAGCTGCAGTTTTATTCGTACCGTCTGGCAGTGCGTTCCCAGTTCAGTTTACTCCACGCTCCGGGAAAACTGTTTCTGCAGTTTGTAGTTGACGCTTACGTCAGAGTAGAAGGAAGCCGCTTACAGTTTATCCGACTTAACCAAAAACATTTGCGTGCCGAGTCGTATGCCGGCCTGCTGGATCACATCAACAGTATTGCCGCCGATAATAATGTGGCTGCCGGCAAAGTCGTGGTGCTCGCATGAACTTTTATGGGAAGTCCCAGAAACATGCAGCAAAATTACCAGGACGCTATGGCAATTGTCAGACGATACGGTAAACCCGACCTGTTTATCACGTTCACCTGTAATCCCCAATGGCCAGAAAATCCCCAATGGCCAGAAATTAAAGAAAACCTTCGAAAATGGGAACGCGCTCAGTATCGGCCAGATTTGATTGCAAGGTACCGTAGTTCCTTTTGATCCATTAAAATAAAACAAGTGCATGCATAGACACGCAATTAAGAAAATATTCATGGAAAATAAATTAAGTGGCATTGCATGTTAATTTGTTTTCAAAATTAAAAAGTTTTCTTCAGTTTGTGCCTGCAGAGGAAATTCTATTGCCAAGGATGCACGAATAGCCTGCAAATTCGCACAAAATAGTAGTATAGGTAATCGGCATATTACCGGCATATGTGTGTAGTACAATGGTTAGGTATAACTTAGGAATATATTACGTAACACAAAATACAAAGAAATCTGTTGAGAATATTACGTACTTCTATCGAGATATTTAGTATGTAATTATGCGGTATTTGCTTCACAGAAAAATTATTTAGTGGTTTCTTTAGGGTGTTCAAGTTGAAGCTGGAGGAACTCATGCTGAACGTCATTAAGAAGCGAATTTTTGGGAACGTTACGGCTTATGTATATGTTATCGAGTTCCAAAAAAGAGGTTTACCGCACGCCCACATTTTGTTAATCTTGGATTCTGAATCAAAACTCCGGAACATTGAAGATATTGATAGAACTGTGAGCGCAGAATTTCCTGATCCCGTAGGCTGTCCACGACTTTTTGATGTCATAAAGACAACCATGGTTCATGGGCCGTTTGGAAAGCTTAACCCAAACTCACCGTGTATGAAGGACGGAAAGTGCAGCAAGGGATTTCCGAAAGAATTTTCGCCGGCTACTAAAGAAAATGGAAGCGGCTACCCAATTTACAGACGACGCGATACTGGAAGCACGGTGATAATCAACGAGGTGCCGGTCAACAATCAGTGGGTAGTTCCCTATAACAGTTGGTTGTCTTGCAAATTCAGTGCCCAAATCAACGTGGAAGTGTGCACCAGTGTCAAGTCTGTAAAATACCTATTCAAGTATGTCTACAAGGGCTACGACTGTGCGAATGTCAAGATCACGCAGCGATTCCAGTCTGCAGATGCCGGGACTTTAGTCTGGGATGAAGTGGATACGTTCCTGAATGCCCGATATGTGAGCGCTCCTGAAGCTGTGTGGCGGCTCAATGAAAATAAAATGCACAAACAATCCCATAATATCGAGCGCCTCGCAGTGCACTTAGAAGACATGCAGAACGTTGTGTTTGAGGAAGGAAACGAAGTGTCTGCAGCAGCAAGAGCAGCAATGTCGAACAGCACACTAACAGCGTATTTTGCTCTTAACCGGAAAGCGATGCAGCTAAGTTGATGCACTATATCGACATTCCGGAGCATTTTGTTTGGAACGTTCGGGCAAGAAGTGGGAGCCCCGAAAACGCGGTGGGGATACCGTTATCGGGCGCATGTATGCAGTATCGCCGTCAGGCCGAGAAAGATTCTTCTTGCGTTTACTGCTACTACATGTAAAGGGTAAGTGAGAAGAAGCGTTAACATAATACACATTACATAGAACAGGGGTGCATCGTACAAATCTGGATTACGATTTACGCTCATATTGCTTTTTGCGTTTTTTGAACATTGTTAACGAGCAAACAGGTCAAACAATATAGCAACGTTTTTTTACGCGAAATAAACCGGCAAATGGTATCAACATAGTGCGCATACAGAAAGACTTATCTGTACGCGCATGCGCATACGATGACTTTCACACGCTTGCCTTTTCGCTTTTTGACACTGGAAGCCAAAGGTTTTTCTACATGGTCGTGAACATTCTATTACATTTTTATCCCTACAGCTTACATAAAATCCTTTTGCTGAAGGATGTGATGAAACGGTAAACAAAGGTGTACGAGCGTGTGTGAAAGTGAAAGTTTTCGTGAATGTACGACAATTCACATCTAAAAGAAGTGACCTGTATGTACAGGTCACATCTTTAAGCATCTACTACAACAGGGTGTGTTTAAAGCTCTCACTTTCGTATGAGAAGATAATTGTTAGTAATTTTAGGAGCAACGTCCCATGCCTCATTGCGAACAGTGGATGGAGTACCGTATGACACCTATCAAGAAGCAGCGAAAGCACTTCAACTTCTAGATGATGATGCCAAATGGGGTGCATGTTTAGCCGAAGCGAGTCTTTCCAGTATGTCGAAATCATTGAGGGACATGTTCGCGTACATTTGTGCATTTTGTATACCGGCCGATCCTAACGGACTTTTCGAAGCGCATCAAGAACATTTGATGGAGGACTACCGGCGTACTTACTCGGAAGAGGAAAGTAGAACAGGGCTCTATGGGATGTTGAGTGTGTCCTGATTCTGCATGGATTTACCTGTGAACAGATAGGACTACCGAAGCCAGCCCGTCCTGTTCACAATATTTGTGATCAGTACAACACAGAAAAAGAGGCTGCAGACGGTGAAAGACTGTAGCTGACGCTTAACCAACAGCAAAGGGAATTTGTTCGTGAAGTTATGCATTCGGTAGAAACTGCCTCTGGCCCGAAACAATGGTTTCTGGATGGCCCCGGTGGAACTGGTAAAACTTACGTGTACCGTTGCTTGGCTCACATTCTGAGAGGGCAGGGAAAGACGGTGATAATTGTTGCATGGACCGGGATTGCAGCGACACTGCTCCAAGGTGGTCGCACCTGTCACTCCGCATTCAAATTTCCTCTGAATCTGGATGAGTATTCAGTGTCCAGTATGAAACCGAGCTCCTTAGAGGCGCTACGGTTGCTAGATGCTGCCCTGATTATTTGGGACGAAGCACCAATGGCACCTAAACATGGCCTTTCGACGCTTGACCGTCTTTTACGTGATCTGACGAGGAATGAACTTCCATTTGGTGGGAAGGTTATAGTATTCGGTAGCGATTTTCGGCAAGTCCTTCCAGTTGTACGGCATGGGTCACGCACAAAGATTGTTGAAGAAAGCATTGCTAAGTCCACTGTGGCCGTGTATTACAACCAGAAAGTTAACGGTGAACATGCGAACTGACCAGAACAGCAAGTCTTTAGCAAATGGCTCCTGGAGTTTGATGCCCGTAACAGCGGTTATCGCCACATGGCCTCCAACAAGTCACCCAACTGCGCTCTTCCACTGCGGGAAGCCCGAATAGAAGAGGACCGCCCACCCTAGCTTCATAGTCCCGCAGAAATGTGCGATGGTTAGGTGCCGGCAGTGCGTTAATCCAAGCGCCGGAGTTACGGTGTAAAACAGCCAACAGCAATGCTTTGTGTCTCTTTCATGGCAACCAGCCTCAGCGAAGACACAACAAAGTCGATTGATGGTCGATCCCAGTGTTACGGTGTATACTGTAACCGTGTGTGACGGCGTAATGCTGCGGTGTTGTCTTTCATCCGAAAATAGTTTCGTCACCGTTCCACATCGTGCTAATTGATCTAACGGATTTTTCAACCTGTGGTTTTTCAAGGGTGATGACCTTACAGCGTGGAAACGCGATACGTGTGATGGGAACAATCCCAGAGCAGGAAAACATCGAGGTAGTGTTCTTGGGCAGGGTGTAAAACCTGGCAGTGGCACCTGCCAATGGCACTGCCAGCGGCATGGCATGTGCTAAAAACTGGAGACTCTGGCAACTGGCAAACGATAAAACCTGGCAGATGGCACATAAACTGTGGCATCACCTACAGACTGTATAAGCGGGTGTGGAGACGCATAATTCATGAAAATGTGGCCAGTACAAATCAACTTATCATGTAAAGTGCAAATAGCATTGGCTAGGTGCATAAGTAAGCGCCGGCACACAAAATTTGGAAAGGTCACACTGCATTTGCCGTTTCCGCAGTACCACAGTGACAAAGAGTTACGAGACGCGTTAAAACTACAGCAGTGGTACTTTCAGATCTAAATTGTGTAAAAGGAGCACAGGGCTGGCGGTTGAAAGTGGTTGTTAAATCCGTTAATTAATTGCACAGCTGTATTGAGTGTACTACTGCGGACGCTGCCCCCGATGCACCACAAATACAAACTGTAGCCGTAGGTGTAACCCTGTGCAGAAAGAACCAAAGAAACCATAAGTGCAGCCTACAGGGTTTTGCCAGTCCAGCTGCACAATTTTAACCGGTGACACTGCAACTTTACTGTATTTGGTAGTAAAGTCGCAGTAACAAAGCAATTGAAAGCATGCAACAGTCATAGTAAGAAAGCATTCAATAGTCACTGCTACAACGTTTTCCCATTACAGTAAAACCTGTGTAATCTGAACACCTCCGGTTCCTTGAAAAGTGTTCAATGTAAGTAATGTAACCAAGTGTTCAAAATTCGCAGTAGCTTTTGCAGTATACGAGACGCGCCGGTTCCTACACGGGCGTTCAATATTCGCAGTTGTTCAGTTCTCGCAGTTGATTAATCTCACAGAGTTTACTATGTATTTTTGTTGTGCACCGGTTTTATCCTCCATATGCTAAATATCTTAGATGTAAAGGTCATCTAAAATTGTTCCTGCGCACCAACTGCCAGGCTGGATGCTTGCCGTACAAATGTAGTAATAATATAACAGCGAATCATTGTTAACCACAGCATCTCTTTGCGGTCGATGCAAAATAGATGTATGCGAAGATGAATACATCGCACTATTTGCCTTACATTTGGGACTCCGTTATCAATATTCTGCAGCGGTGCCAATAAAATTAACACCTTACTATCTAAAAACCTTGCATGCTCTTGCCCAGTGACGCGGATAATTTATTCCTGACGCCTGAGTGCATTTGACGCCTATCCAGATTGCGATCTACACTGTATATTGCCCCGTGTGGGATACACCAGACCACCAAACCAGAGAAGACCGACCAAAACTAATACATATTACTGTATATGCCGAAGGCCATGCACCAGACTTTTAGACATAGGCTGGGCCGCTGTAGTAAGTGTATTGAAATACTGTATACAGACAAACAGTTTACTGCAATTAACCTTATCGATAAGTTTGACTGTTTGAGGTGAAATACTGTCTAAGATGAGGTTTAAAATGAAGAAGAAGATGTTAAAATGAAGAAGAAGATGAAGAAGAAGATGTTGAAGAGAAGATGTTGGTACTTCTCGGTTTTTAAAATGAAAAACCGAGAAGTACCAGAACATCATCCACGATTACCTGTTCCGAGCGGTCGGCGTAGAGACACTGGGGCCACTCGGACCGGAGGCCTCCCGGCTGATTAGCGAAGTGGGCAAGATGATATGGCAAGAAACAGGCGAGAAACGTGCAACGGAGTTTCTGCGCCAGAGGTTTTGAACTGTGTTATTTTTAATCAGAACTGAAAATGGTGCGCACTCTGTCAGTTCAATACACCTTATTCAGAGAATTACAGATAGCATTACTGCTGATAATGCATATAAATTAGCCGTAACAGATTAGGCTGTGTAAAATAATTATAATGTATGCAGACAGACACTAAAATATGCAGTCTCTAAAATCGTATTACTGTTACCGACACTAAAATACAGATATGTACCACTTCAGGCACTAACGTAAATTATGTTGGGTATGCATAAAAACACTGAAATGGTTTTAGTAATGCAGTTTTGGATATGATCCTTGCCCATCAGACACTTCCAGTACAACGTTGTCGTTGTTCTAGTAGCACAACGTCGAGCAGTAGGAATTGTGTATTAATTCTTCTTTAATTAGTCTAGTGGTAATATTGGTCTAAATTTAAATTTCGGATTGCCATGTGCTTGTTTACGTGTAATTTTACATACTGTAATGTAGTGCCGCGCTAAAGTGCTGTATCTGTAGGGCCGTCTAAATAATGATTGGTAATATTAAATTAGAAAACCAGTAAAAACTGTTCTGCACTTTTGTGTTCCCAGTTGTTTAAAATAATCATGCCAGTTCTGTTTCGGGTTTGTCGGTTTGATAATAATTACTTTAAAGCTTGTGTTTACATATAATAAAGATAATCACGTTGAGCGAAAACGCGTGTGCAGGAAAAATTTAACAAAACTTTTTTTAAATTTCAGCAAACGATTTGCCTCTGCGTGTCTGCAATAACCGTGTCAGCTAACATGCTAGTGTTAACGATTTATCAATCAACCGCACTTAATTAACTGATTCATACGCCATATGTAACCACAAGAGAGATTCTAGCGCTAACAATAAGTGACGTGCTTTCCAGATCTAAAAGTGTCATAGTTGCAGATTTAACGCGCCTTGTTTGCGGAAACGGCAAATGCAGTGTGAGTGTGTGACCTTTCGAAATTTTGTGTTCCGGCGCTTAATTACTTAACCTAGCCAATGCTATTTGCACTTTACATGATAAGTTGATTTGTACTGGCCACATTTTCATGAA